ATTTTTTTACTAGAAATATGGAAATAAGTATTAAAGCTTATCAAATCAACCTCGAGGAATTCTATTAACCCTGAATCATCCTTCCATAACCTGGGTATCGCATCATAAATATCAATAATCATAAGCAAATTATTACCTTTCATACCGAGGTTCATAAAATATTTAACAGGCTTAACATGACCTTTCTCAACCAAATGATTCAGTTGAACAATCCCTCTTTCAAACAAGTATCTATCAAATATACTTTTTCCATTTATACATATATTCTGATTATTAAAAATAATTGGATTAATATAACCCTCCAAATATCTTAAATTACTTGTCTCTTGCCATGCTTGCAACATTTCCATATAGTATGGTGGAATATCTAAAACGAGTTTAATCTTGTTTAAATCATAATCACATAAAAAAATAAATCTACCACCCACAAACTGTAAGCAATGATCAAAAAACAATTTCCATCCCAAACTTTTCTCTCCATATAAAAGACGTTTTATCCACATTATGCGCTGTATTTTAACGGACATTTCAAAATTAATCATTCTTAATCCTCCAAAGTCATAATCCTGATACATTATTGCCCGTTTAATTCTATCTTTCCCCCTCCATATGAATTCAAATGAAATTTTTGCAACTTCTTTATATACCCAATGAGGGACAATAACGAGAGATGAAATATAATTTAATTTTGAAAGCGCATAAGTTTTTAGCAAATGTATTTTACCCATAATAGTTAAATCTCTTTGTTTCCACCATACAAGCAATTTTTTTATTTTACTTAGAATTTCTTTATAATTCAAATCATCTTTTAAACTTCGATCTAATGAATAACTAACCCCTAAAATATGTATTTCCTTAACCAAATTTCCAAATAAAGGCCCATCAGGTTTGTTCTCATCCTCACCCATCCACATAAAATGTGTCTTTGTTTTATTCACTTTAAGACCACTAATTTTTTCAAATGATTCAAAAATATATTGCAACCTTCTAACCGAATCAATATCCTTCAAAAATATTGTCATATCATCTGCATATAACACTTGCCTAATTTCAGATTTTCCAAATGTAATCCCTTTAATACCGTTGTCCCTCCTTACTGCATGCGCCAAAATTTCGATGGCAACCAAAAACAAATATGGCGATAATGGATCCCCTTGCCTTACTCCCCTTTCTATTTCAAAATACCCCGTGGAGTGACCACCGTTCATAACACAACTACTTATCCCTTTATACAATAATTTTACCCAAGAGCAAAATGAATCTCCAAAACCGAACAATTTCAATATTTGAAATAAATATCTATGAGATACAGAGTCGAAAGCTTTCTCAAAATCCACTGCACACAAAAACCCTTTCCCTTGTTCCCCATAATGCATAGAATAAAATAACATGTCATCTATCAATCGTACAGCTTCCCCAATATTTCTATCTTTTATATATCCAACTTGATCATGATGAATTATTTCATTTAAAACCTCTTTCATTCTTTTTGCTAGAACTTTAGATACAATTTTATAATCTACATTCAAAAGCGTGATGGGTCGATAATTTTTTATATGGAGAGTATCTTTCGCTTCCTTCTCAATTAAGGTAATTACCCCTTGTTTTTGAGATGCCGTTAATTCCCCCTTTCGTATGTTTCATTCAATACTTCTACTAACAAATCACCCAAAGCTGGCCAAAAAGTATAATAAAATTCAACTGTTAACCCATCATTTCCCGGGGTTTTATTCAATTTCATTTCTTTTAAAACTTTCAAGCATTCATCTTTAGTTAATTTACCTTCACAGATTTCCTTATTGTCTTCATTTAACTTTGAAATATCATTGAAAAAGAAAGGGTCGTTTTGATTTATATCAGCCCTGAAAGAATATAAATCTTTATAAAATAGTTTAATTTCCTTTAAAATTTCCTCCTTATCTCTAGTAGTTTCCCCATTTTCTTTGTACACCTCCCTAATTACACTTTTCCTTTTATTCGATTTTAACAACTGTTCAAAATATTGCGTATTGTTTTCTCCATCTTCAAACCAAGGTGCTCTTGATCTTATTTTAATGCCCTGTCGAGAAAAATCATACAATTTATTTAGTTTATCCCTTTTCTCCTCAATACAATCAACAATATATTTAGTGGGTCCCACTACCAGTTCGCCTTCTAAATCCTTGATTTGTTTCTCTAACAGTTCTATTTCAACCCTCCTTGCTTTTGCCTTTTTCCGCGAGTATGTTATAATAAATTCTCTCATTTTCATCTTTAAAAAATCCCAAAATACTAATTTATTCAAAATCTGTAATGACCATTCAGCTTTTAATTCCTGTATTTCCTTATTCATCTCTTCAACAAAATCTTTATCCATACATAAACTACTGTTAAATTTCCAATATGATTTCCCAAAAACAAACTTATCAACAAGATCATTAAATTCTAGCCTAACGCCAGAATGACACACACACACACACACACACACACACACACACACACACACACTCTCTCTCTAGTCTCTACCTATCTCTCTCTTTGGAGCAAACATTCACCGATTATTTTCATTTACTTTATAACTTAGGCAATCCTATATCGGGATCAATGTCCTAAAATTCCTTTAAAAAAAACTAAAATGCACCCATTTATGTGTATTTAAATCTTAAAAGAACACGTTCCAGCCCATGCCCTCTCCTGTCCGTCTTTATTGGGTCTATACGGGCTTAAAGATTCCAATATCCATGCAGTTAAAAATGGGGGATGGGGTGGGGGAGGGGCAGGCAGAATACACAATACCTATCCAGAAGTGTCGGGGTGCAGGCCTATTATGATTGTGGCGCTTGTCTGAACTTTGTTTGATAATTATCATTGTCGTTTTCGGGACTCCAAGCTGGATGGGCGCGTACACCGGATCCGCCGAATACTTGGATCATGGACCTACTACGAATGATTGGATACAATATATCTTTGGATACACCATACACGGGAACAAACCCTTATGGCAAGACAGCATAGTTTCATGCCAAAGTTCTCAGGATTTCCTTTCACCTTCACATCGACACCACTCTGCGCTACCGCACTTCATATTAGCAAGTGCCCTCTCTTAAAAGGTCAAGTACGGTCCCATAATGATTTACTTTCAGTAAAAGGAGAAAATTAGACAAACAGAATAGAACGAAAGTTTGAGGAAAATCGTACAACTAATAAGAAAGTTATAATTCTTAATGACATGAAATATGCAATATCATCAATGACAACGCACCTCACTTGTAAATGATCTTATAATGGTTCCCAATCAGAATATGATTTTCTCAAAACTAGAACCAAGGTGATTTATAGGAAAACGTTTTTCATCGTACACTTTCGCGAAGTATTAATGAATGACAAAATCTGGAAATTGCTTTCAAATATGACATATGAATGTATAGGCCTACATATCATATCCAAATTTCACAGGCTTATTCATTTTTCCAGGATAAAGGGGGCCTCTTCGTCTGGAGATAAATCCTATCCAAAATTATTATAAAATTCACTCCGAAGTAGGCTGGTAGAATTTACTCTTTAGCGGCATAAGCCCTCTGGCTTTTTAGAGAATGTATTGCTTTCTTTCAACGTGGATTTCTATTCCAAACGAAATAATCTCAAATGATGACAAGGCACCCCCTCCCCCTCGAAAAAGTGATTTTCCACCCTAATTTAGAGAGTTTAATTATTGTTATTATAGAATAAGTGGAAACAAAGTTTTTAACAATTGTATAGGCCTATAACTTCCATTTATGTTTTAATTGTATATTTCTTTGTGAATATTTTAAAATTGTTACTGAATCTGATGTTATTTTATTTTTATAATGTTGTTTTATTTTGTATTGTATTCAGACATGCTGAAGAAACAGCTTTGCGGCTGAATGCCTGTTATTTTGAAACACCGTATCGAAATGAAAAAAATAAAAGGAGATGTTATAATTTGTATTACATTTTTATTAAATATAAATGCCTAAGGATGAGAAAGATAGAAGAAAGAAAGAAAGAAAGATTTTAAAAATAAAGATCGAAAACTGATGATATTAAATGTAGTCCAACGAGGACTCCTTCTCGACATGTTTGATGTTCGATGTTTGTTCTATTTCTTAAACGGTCCAACCTGGGGCATGGAAGAAATATATATAAATGTTACAAAGCTATAGCCTATGTTATAAAAAATACAGTAAAAATAAAATATCTTACAACTGAAGAAACACTAAAGGTTCTTAGGCAGCAAACAATAAATTGAAGGCAGGATTTTCAACAGAATAATAATCTCCTTCTACGCTATCACAACAGCGATTAAGTAATGACTTGGTGACGTGACAACCATCGAGTCGTGGTCTTACCTTTGATGGGAAGAAACAGAAGAAAATCAATTGTCACATGAAGAAAAAAACAAGTCAATCAATGATGAACATAATGCCGGGCAATGCTGCGCACGTGGGCCGTGGTATAACAAATTGAGGGATCATAAAATATTTTTTTTAATTTTTTATATCATAATCATTTTCTTAATCTGATCTAGACTTGAGAGTCACTTGGTTACGAATTTGATAAGATTTCAAATGTAATACGCGAATTTCAAGCAGTCAGATGTATTATGGGCGATTAAAAATGACTACCGAATGAGTTGTGAGTAAGTGAACTAAATCAACTTGGACTTCAACTTGAAATCGCTCGTCGTGGTTCATATGCTTAGCACTGCAATGCCTCTCATTGAATGCAATGTAGTGTAGTCGCCTTGACATGAGAGCGAGAGCAATCACTTAGTGCGTGACGTCATGGAATGATTCATTATATAAAAAGGGTAAAATAATTTATGCTATCTGTTTTAGAGGTGTTTCGATATTTCAAGCTGTGAAGCAAAAATAGAATTTTACGTTAATAAAATATATTGGTATTTAAATGATTGATATTTCTGACTACATATCCAAATCTATGATTATGATACAAAGTCATTCGAAACACACCCCTATTTTGAATGAATTCGACCATAATGGTCTATATTCTGAGAATACACTTTATTTTCCAAGATAAACCCGACCTTTGATGCAGGAGAACTCACTGACATGGGCCCGAATATATAGGATTTTTAATGATTTTGGTGTCTAGGTACGTATAATTTATCAATATATATATAATTAACAACTATTATATTCGTTTGTTATCGTTTATTTATGCTGTTCTGTATTGTTTCTATCCGAAAATGCAATCGAAAAATGTGTTTCAAAAATAAGAGTGCGCTGTATTATTTACATGTACTATTGTATTGTCGTGTACGGTACGTGTGAGAGGTACGGGGACACAGAGCGGTGTTCAAGCCTGTGTTACGGGACGGTACTGGCCTGTGTATGTAGACCTCTATGTGGTTGTGTGTTGTTGTGGTCACTTCCTTTCTGTGGGTTAAGAAAATGACCATGGCATGTCAATATGAGAGTCCACCTTAAATAATTGATAACATGACCGGTCAGTCTTACTTGTCTTAACTTCCCTAAGTTACTTCAGTCAATCTGTAGTAGATCTAGAGGGGCAAAGTTAATTTTGACTTTCAATGTGAGACTGAGAAATGGTGTTTGTGAAAGTTTGATCATGTTACATTTTAAACTTTGTCTACGAAAGAAAACACGGACTGAATATGTGCCAGTGAATATATAATTATGATTTTGTATCATTGTTGTTTCCTTTTATGGCTAAAGAAATGAGTAAAGTCGATGTAGGCCTACATGTAGTTTAGTTCGGTAGTTTAGAAAGCAGTTAATTTTGTTGATGTAACGTGTGACGTAACGTGTGACGGAATGCCAACTGAAGCATTTGGTAATGGCATCAATTGATAAAGTCACTAAAAATTGTAAAGAGATTTTTCTTAAAGTGGAGAAGTGTCTACCAAGCTTCCTTTCAATGCAGGTTAATATTTCTGTCAAGAAAAGAATACATGTGGGATATTGTGGAAAGACTGCAAAGTGCTGTGCCAAAAAATCTACCGACATCAACTTGAATTAAAATCTACAACATGTACAAATTATCAACTAAAAAGACATCTATTAATTTCATCTGTAAAATCTTGTAAAAACGTATCAACTAAAATGTAATTGCAGAAGGGGGGTGTCGGGATGATGGAAGAAACAAAAGCATTGGCTCTTAGTGTCGCTCGCTTAGAAAAATACACGGTTCAAGGGAAATACTGATGGTCATATCAGCAGAACCCGGAAACTCGCCAACCTAACTAGGCTATTTTTTTGCTCTATCTGAAGGTTGAATATTGAAAGCTGTGTAAGCATCAGGGTTAAAATGATATTATTTCAAAGAACAAATAAATTAAAGGGAAGTTAATTAGAACCTTCACCTCCAATGGCATTGTTGGCCTTGGTAATTCAGAAATTATTTGTGGAATGAATAAAACAAATTTGTGGAGGTTGGTGATATAACGATAATACCAATGCTGTTTAAACAATGTTGGTTTTTAATGAGGAAATGAAAAGATGAAATGTGATCAAATGAAATTACTTTAAACCAACTGAAAGTACATGTACCCGATGTTTGAGAAAATTGCTAATTTTGGTACAAGATTTAGTTTTGAAGATTTGCTTGTATCCTGTGTTCAGTGTGTTTTCTGGTCAGACTGCTAAATTACCTCTGTTTATCTTATTGGGTTATCTAACCCAAAATGACAAATTGTGAAAATATTCATGTACATGTATCGTAAAGAATTGCCTTTTCACCTTTATTACTGACTCAAGACATACTGGGGATATATCTTACTTCCAAGAAAACTCTTCCGTTCTGTGCCTGATAGGCCTCCACACTGTCATACAGTACTGTCGTAGTTGTATACTTTTTGGGGGGAATCAAATCCTCAAAGAAATGAACAGCGATCCACCAACCATGATGAGGGTCAACATACATGTAGAATTGCAAAAAACGAGTTTGCAAAGTTTTAAACTACAAGCCTGGCCTGGTACATGTACTAGTAGTACTAGTAGTCATTTTAAGTACAAGCTTTAAACTACATGTACTACCGGTATTAACTGTTATCCTCATAGTTAATTGCATCCACACAACACATAACTTCGAGTGTTGATCCCCGCTGCTCGTACTACAGTTATTAATATTCATCAACTTACCGGTATTATGCTTATGTAATGATCACTCATGGTTTATAACTAAGACAGTAAACTTGAAGTTTCATATTCACAACCATGAGTGCATCCACACAATCCCTAACTGCGAGATAACTTCGAAGTTTAAAACCATGGCCTGCCCTAAACCTTAAATTAACAAGATTGTTACAGTGTGAACCTCACTTTTGTTCTCGTCGTCGTCAAAGTTTCACAAGGAAGGAATCTTGATATATTCATCATAGCATAATAGAGGGGACGGAATCTCATGGGGTATCTGGTGTGAAATAATTTTACCCCTGGTGCGAATGTTTGTTCCTCTTCATGTGAAGTTTCTAATATTAAATTAAAAAATAAATGCTGCCAGGGCCTATGTTTGATTGTGTCATTTTTTGTTTAAATGATCGGATTTATCATAGTGTCTTCAACTGTATGGATCGTGTAATTGGACAAAAGGATGCTCATTTTTCTTGTTTGTAAGTGATAATTTGCAGGTTGTGACCAGTGGAAAAATACAAAGGAATTATGAGTGATTTAGCCCCGGAAAGCTCCAGAAGTTATGAGGAAAAATAAAAGGAGCTTTGATAACGATGAAACAAACGAGAAAGAATTGAATTCCTAAAATTATTTCAAATAACTTTAAAAGTAGATATACATGTACGTACATAACAAATAAAGAAAGAGATATTTTCTACACTGTATGCAACTTTGAAAGTTGATGTGTCATTTTATCTGTGATTCTGTATCGGTTTTGCAAAACTGTCCAATATTGTGAAACATTCCATCTTTTGTATTTCATCATGAGACAGGCCGGTTAATATGTCATGTGCATTTATGTCCGGGTCACAGAACATATTCATGTAAACAGTTCATGTGTTCATAAAATGTTTAGCGGTTAGTGTTGAGAGCAGTAAAGAAATCCTTTTTCGTTCGCTGGAGCTCTTTGTGAGATTATGTATTGAAAAGGCAAGATTTCCTTCAGAGCAATTTATTCTAGTTTAATGCACAACAGATTCCTCCCTTGTAGGGTTTCAGGGCTCTTTTGACGTTGTTGTTGCTGAATTACTTTCTGTTTTTGTGTATACGCCCTTATTAAAAGGAGATCATCTATAAAACTATCAATGTCATTCTTCTATGTAGAGTGAATATTCAAATAAATAAGGCTTACTCGTAAACAGGGTCCAATTAGAATGGCTGAATAACACTCTGTTGTTGGCTGCTTAATTGCTGTATGATTTATTATATTTTGTCTTTGTGTTTCAAAGAAAGATAGCTTTGCAAGTCTCGCCCAAATGAGATGAATTAGCTTGATTTACTCCCGAGTATGGAACATTTGACATTGCGCATATGTCATGTAGACCCACTCAGAGTTCAGATTCTCCAGCCGTGGATCCAATGAAGATCATGTGTGTTATTGGCTTGGTCGCGATGGATGTGCCTTGGGTTCCTTTCTATTGAGGTCGGCCAAGGAATGCAAGAGCCCCCAGTCTCCGGAGGTCAATGTCTTCTGAGTTTGACCTCCAATTTGACCTTTCTCTTCCCAGGAGCAGCCAGTTGTGGAACATATTTCAGAGCTTTCAAATTGCTATGCTGCATATACTGTACCTGTAAATGTACATTACATGTACTGTTCACTTTAATACACAGAAATCTACATGTACATACACTGTACATGTACGTTGCTTATTTTCCCCTTTTCTTGTTGTGAAGTGTTCCTGCACAATTTTCATTCATCCCATTTTTATGTGTCCTCCTGAGACGTAATAAAGAAAACCAGAACATCAACAAACATGAAATGAAACACACAAAAGTGAAATTACATTTTTTAACTTACATCAATTGTGTAATTTGTGTGATGTCCCTTTTTGTTGTTGTATACTTGTATGTTTTGTTCATACAAGGTTTAATTCAATCATAGACATGTATGAGTTGCTTGAGTGGCTTCGTTTCAAGGGGGGGGGGGGGGGTGTTGCTATGAAGGTGGTTATACTTGTATGCAATGTACATGTACAGGTACAAACACTGTAGTACATTTGTTTAAGGACATATTGTTAACCCAAAAGCCTATTTCTAAATGATATAAGAACATTTTCAAAAACTTCTCAGAAAATGCAGGTGTGATGTTATTTCAATTCTGCCTTTGTTGTCACTTTTGTGGAAATGGAGAAGGTCATAATATATGATCATAGCTGAAAGCAATCTTCAATATTGTCACCTTTGTGACCTCCATTTCTGTCTTCTCAAAATTCCTGCGATATATTATTCTAAAGTGGAAAAATTGTCTTCAATTATCTATATATTTTAAGTAGATTTGTGGAAAAGGGGAGGGTGTCATATATAAGTTATGTTCCCAATTCAAAGCTGTCAGATAAAATTACACGGAGTGCTATTTTTCCTTTTTCAAAATAAATGCCCTCAATCATTTATGAAGATGATATTGATAACTATTTTTTTGGACAATTTCCTGGGAATTGTTTTTAGTTCAGTTTATTTTTCAGTTTTAATTATGGCCCTATTTCAAAGCTGTCAGTCAGATATATATTGCTCTTTGCAAACTGATCTTGTCATATAAAATGTGATATATTTTTCTTAAAATCGTCTTCCTAACATTCCCAGATTTGCCAGTTTCAAAGAAAGGGTGAAAATTTACAATTATAGGGCTGAGATCACTCTAATATACAATGAACATTTAGAGCTCATTGAATTTCAAGGAATCGTTTCGAATGGATTCCTGAAAATGTGTCAAGAATCACATTGCATTCTGCTTTTATTTTATTTTTTATTTTTATTGCACATGTACATGTATGTGATCTCTTTGAATTAGGAAGTTTTATTTGTGTCCATTATTGTCCAAAATACTTGTAGATCTTCTTCATTCTTTGCAAATATATTGCCAGAAACCTTGAAAAAACGTTTGAATTTAATGTTGCATACCAGTGCCCATACTAATATGGTCAAGAAATTTTGTATGTACTTGAGATACTCTTGACATTCACA